TTGAGATTACGACCTTATTTGTATTTGAAGCTCTTCTGTTCTTGGTTGATTTCTTAATTTATGTTTGGTTATCATTTCTTTTTTGAAGTGGAAGGATCAGAGGAAGAAATAATGCAAGCTCGTCCAGTCTATGTTGCAGCCATTGATTTGTCATGTAAGAGTTCATTGCATATGTGTATCAACTTTGTGATTGGTAATTCTATTCCAAGGATTGTTCTACTGTGATGGTAATTTATTAAATTCTCATGGAGTTTCACTAATTAGAGGTTGACTTACACAGTTGAGAGTTTTTGACATGTGCTGTCTCCATAATAGACACTAGCTCGTTCAAATGTAATATACGATTTTATGCAGACCATTTTCCTTTTCTAATTGAAAAATAAATTTTGCTAATTGAGCAAGTTTGTATGATGTTGCTTATATGAAACTGAGATGTTCCAATGTTGTCAAGCAGATTGCATGGGCTAAAATCAATTTTGTGAACAACGAAGTATCCCAAATAATAAAAAGGGCTAGGCAAGTACATCAAATTGCTATCATTTGATAAAGAAAAACACATACTGGAGCTGGAAATTTTACCAACCTATATATTATCAGTATTTGGTCATGTTTCTCTCTTTTCTTTTACTTTTTCGAATGTCAACTTTTAGCATGTAAAAAACTAAAAGTTGTGGCATGAACATACCCCAAGCTCCGGGCTTTTCTTTTTATTAAACATAATTCTGAATTTTTCCTCTAAATTTTAATTTTCTTTTCAAATATTCAGGTCACAGAATCGTTTCTTTTGGCCTTTGTTTGCATATATTTTTATTTTAGAGAGTTCTTGGAGTTCTGTTTATCTTTAATGAAATTATCTCGGATTTATCTGCAGCTTCAGAAGAATTTTTGGAGCTTACTAAAAGTGCACTTCTAGCAGCTTTGGAAGGTTAATACTTCTCAGGAAAAAAGTGAGATTTTGATTCTTTCTTATGTTCCTGTTCTCTGAAGAGTAAATTATTTTTTCCTGATTGATGTTTCAGCTCTTGTGCCTGGGGCTCTTTTTGGGCTAGCTACCTTCAGCCACAAATTGGGGCTCTATGATGTTCAAGGCCCCATACCAGTAGTAAAGAATGTCTTTATTCCTGCTGATGCAGAGGAAACCTTACAGTTGGAACTTGAAGATGTCATGCCATTGTTACAATTCTTGGCTCCGGTATGGTAGTCAGGGTCTTTATCATCTTTTGATTTGGGACTCTCTCTCTCTGAGTGCTATGCTTTTCGGGTGAATTCAACTATTTCGTGAGTTTGCTCATCATCTTGAATTGTCATACTTTTACAATTAATATAGTTAATGTTTTAGAGTTGATGTTTCTGTTACAGGTGGAAACTTGTAAGGATCGTATCACTGCTGCTCTTGAAACACTCAGACCTACAACTTCTTGGGAGAGATCCACTGGAGCAGTTCAAGGACTTGATGGTGTTTTGATGGGTGGGCGTGGTTTTGGTGTGGCAATGGAAAGCCTTTTCAAATACCTTGGGTCAGAATATGGGAACACATTTGCATTAGGTGCAATATGAAGTATAAAGTTCATATTTTTTTGACTTTTTACACTGTTTGATCTGTGGAACGTGACTGCAGCTAGAGTCTTTGCCTTTCTTTCTGGTCCTCCGGATTATGGAGCTGGGCAACTAGATACAAGGAGGTATGGTGAGCAATATGCCAGTAAAGGGGAGGATGCTGACTGTGCTTTACTTCCTGAGCAGACATCTTTTTACAAGGATCTGGTAATTTCCATTTCAGTTTCTTTAGAATCTCTATTTTTGAAAATGTGCTACTGACATTTATTTTACAGGCTAATGTTGCTGTTCAAGCAGGTGTATGTGTGGACATTTTTGCCGTGACAAATGAGTATACAGATTTGGCGTCACTGAAATTTCTTAGTATTGAAAGTGGAGGCTCATTATTTCTTTATTCAAATACTGATGATTCAACACTTCCTCAGGACATGTGAGCTTCGAATGCTATAACAATCAACATTAGGAATGTTATGTATTTTACGTAATTAAGACCAAAAGGAAAAGAGAACCATTTACAAAAAGCATTATGGTTTTTCTTCTAATCAAAATGGGGATTGTGTTAGAATCTCAAGTCATACCAAAAGAACAAGAAAAATAAAAACTATATTGCATACTAATTATCTAAACATAACCTCATAATGCATTTGTTGTTGATGCTATAAAATAGAATGGCTACTTTTACTTCTCATTTGAACACAAATATAACAAACAAGTTTACTTTATAGATTTCACATTCAAGACCACTTTTTTGCTAGTTTGCAATCAGACAATAATATTGCGTAAGTCTTCTGTAGGTATCGAATGCTGAGTCGACCATATGCATTCAATTGTATACTGCGGCTGAGGACATCTTCTGAATTCAGTCCCGGTCATTCTGTGAGTGGTTATAATGAATTGTTTGATTTTTAAGAAGGATTGTCTTACTTTCTTTAATACTTTCCTTTTCTTTTTTCAGTATGGTCATTTCTTCCTAGATCCTCAATATGAAAATGTTCAACATATCATATGTTGTGATTCTTATGCAACCTATGCTTATGACTTCGATTTTGCCAATAATACTGGCTTTTCCAGGTACAAATATGTCGTGCTATAGAAATTTTTCATAATTGATTGTCATTTATCATAAAGGTGTATTAATACATGAAACAGGAAGCTTAAAATCTGGTATTGAGTGCATTTCATATGCTTACGCTGTTCTTTTAGTCTGGGTGCTCTACCTTGCATGAATATGGTAGATCTATGAAACTCTGTTGTCAGGCTAATCCTTACTAGTTTTTAGTTTAGGACTTTCAACTTTGTCTTGTACAAAATTTGTTAATGTAGGCACATGGTATGTGTGTCCTTATGCAATAATGTTAATTTATTAAAGTAATAAATATATTTGTCAAATAAACAATATTATGTTTAAACATCACCTAGGTTTCTTTCCCCCGTCCCATACCCTTCTTCCTTTTTGTCTTGTTTCAGTAAATAACAAAATTTTTCTTCATTCAGAAAGTTAGATTTTCGATCG